CTTGTCTGAGGCCTGAAAGGAATCTCTTGTCCTGTTGGTGAATAATTTTTTAAAAATTATCTCAAACACTACAAAAGAGTACCACGTTTACCCACTAATTCAGCCTGCGAGATGTTTTACAAGTAAATTAGCCACACTGCTCCCACAGTGGTGGTGTCCAGCAGCAAGCATGATGAAACAGAGTTCTCCAGAATGACAGTGGCAGTCCATGTGGTTTCCCCAAAGACATCTGGGGAATGATGATGAACCAGTTCCAAAGAAGTATTTAGAATAAAATGGCAAGCATAAAAGGGTTTACAGCAAGGATTTACATGGCTGAGGTCACAAGCAGGTTGTGACAGTTTCAGGCAGCTTAGTTCAGTCTGATACAGACATACATCAGAGCCAATGGTAGATTTTCACGCCCTCCCCACCTGCCCCCTACCCTGTCCCCCGTCCTTGGGAAGAAGGCAAAAACAAATCCTTTCAGCTATTCTTCCAGGCTCAACTTAAGCTAACATATGCTCCAGTTCCTAAACAGCTGTAGGAGTCCAATGCAGTCCATTACTTAATCCTAGTATTTGCGCAAACCCAACTACCATCAAAGATGCCATCGACAAAACGTGGGATGCAGCATGTGTCAAAAAGAACCAGCAAAGCTGGACAAAGTCCTGTAATAGGTGAAGTAAGGAGAGAACGGGAAGGTGGAAGCGTTCTGGCATTTGGCAACCAGCTAAAATGAAACCAGAATATTGATGTGTGGGTGAGGGAAATAAATTTGCACCTCAAAATTGAGGAGAGAAAAAGAAGAATGAAAGCCTTGCGGGTTTAATACATGAGTAAATAGATAATTCTGTGTAACATATAAATTATATGTTGAATAAATAGAACAAATAATAATGACAGGTTGTTTGGAAGGGGTAGATGTCCGTCAGGCCTTCCCATAGGCCACAGTCAGACAGGTTTCTATGGCTCTCCCAAAACCCTCCTAGCTGAGCCTAGCTGTGAGCTTCTGCTTTATAATGAAGTTAATATATAGTGATGTCATTTATTATCCTGCTCCAGAAATACAACATTTTTTAAACGGGGGAGAAAGCGGAGAATGTCCTCTACACATCTGATGAATATATAAAGGCCTCTAAAATCTCAGAATATGTTACAGCTGGAAATTTCAGGGAGATAAAAAAAAAAAGTCAGCTTAAATTTAATAGACCATTTAAATTCTTAGTTGATGGTAATTAGGGAACAAGCAGCATTTCTTTAAACACTGCTAGACAGAACTTAATCCAATTTAGGTAATCACTAACCTTTGCTTTTTTCTCTCTTTCTCTCTCCTGTACATGAAATCCAAGGATTGATCTACAAAGGCCATAAACTGGCAAAGCATAAAAAAAGAATGTTTAAAGAGGGAGACTGGGTGACTGGTACCTCAAAGGGCCAAGTCTAATTAAAATGGAAACAGGTCCCACAGGCTCCCTAATTTATATTGACTATAAAGCCAACACCGAGCAGCAGAAGGCAACAGGAGGGAGGTGGAGACACTTCCTCACTCTTCCCCTCTGGGAACTTCATCTGGTATGTTCTGCAATGTGACAGCCATCCTCGCCCGGGTCGATGCTAGTAATTCTCTATATTCACAGTATCTACAGGGCCTGACTTTCCTTCTTCTGTGGCATCACTGTTGTCAGAATTATCCAGACCATCCCTTGAGGCTCCATTGTTTGCACACCTTCTGTCCCCTCATTTTAGAGCCCCTGAACAGCTCTGGCCTTGACTTCTGATCCAGAAACTTCCATGTGAACCACTAGGATTTTTTTGAGAACTTGGGACCCTGAGTTCTCCATGGAAGGCTTTCAAGGGTAGATATCAAAATGTACTAGCCAGGTGTGGTGGCTCACACCTATACTCCTAGCACTTTGGGAGGCCAAGGCAGGCGGATCACCTGAGGTTGGTAGTTCAAGACCAGCCTGACCAACATGGAGAAACTCTGTCTCTACAAATTTAGCAGAGCGTGGTGGTGCATGCCTGTAATCCTAGCTACTCCAGAGGCTGAGGCAGGAGAATCACTTGAACCCGGGAGGCAGAGTTTGCAGTGACCAAGATCTCGCCATTGCACTCCACCCTGGGCAGCAAGAGGGAAACTCCGTCTCAAAAAAAAAAAAAAAAAAAAGTACCGAAAAGAGCAAGATACTTGAGTACACGGCTATGTGACACTGGGAAAGTAACAAGTCTCTCTGAGCCTCTGTTTTCGCATCTGAAAATAGAGAAAATAATCCCTACCTGTCTGGGTTCTTGGCAGGCACATATTTGTGACATTACCATAGCTATACCTGGCTCACAGAAGTTGCCCAATAAATAACTCAGCTCATTTGTTTTAACTGTACAATTTCAAAGTAAACCTTGGATTCCCAGGTACTGACAAAAATGGGAATTAACTCAAGTTCACTTCTGATGCCTCATCACTATCATCCATCCCCTCCTTGGCTCCATGTGAGATCTTCCCTTGTAAAACAGTGCCTTCTGCTTATCAGGGTACCATTCTCCTTGTTCACCAATTCCAAATCCCGTATTCTGTACAAAATCCATAAAATATTTCATTCCTGTATTTCAGCAACTAAAATATTAATTCACAATGACTTGTTAACAAATGGTCATTTCTACAAGCATTACCTTTAACATGTATTTACATTTTACATACAGAGACGTAACTCTAGAGAACAAACATTTAATGATGAATGTTAGACATTGTAGGGATCTTTCAGAGGAACTCACACTCTATTTTTCAAATCAATTTTGTATTAGGTCTAGCTCTGCAGAAAGAATGAAAAGGAAAAAGGCTGCAATCTAAGAGAGATTTCAGCATATTTTACCTTGTACGAAAGGAACAGCCACAAGAAAACAGATACATGCATACCTACAAATCATTAGTGTGGAGAAATCTGAAAAAAAAAAAAAAAATTAAATAATCCACAAAGACCTTACTGAATTCGGTTTCTACAGATAAATGGCTTTAATGATTAAGACACATTAAGACAATGAGCAAAGTGAGGATTATGATTCAGGTCTGGGAGCAAAATCTCTTACTGATTTTCAGATTTAGGTCTGAAAATCAGCAAGAGATGTTGAGATAATCAGTGTGAAAGAAATGAGGTTCCACCCTTGAGAAACAAGCTAGTCTAAACTTTGAGAAATAGTTAGACTTTCTTATTTCTAGTTCCTTTCTTCTTTTTCATATTAAAGGTTCCAGTTGTTAGAAGCATCAGTAACATACTCAAAGAACAGTGGCTGGAGTTGGAAACTGAAGACAACTTTGTGGATTGACCAAGCATCACTTCCCTTATATGCAAGGCTGCATTCTACAGAAACCGCTCTAAACAGCACCCTTGATCCAGATTCTGGGACTGCAACCAGAGAAGACCAATTAGCCGGGTTCCACAGACAGGAGCCCTGTACCTTCCTCAGTCGTACTGGGAACCTTACCAGGGTCTGTATTTTAAATGTGGCTAAATTAGTTTCTGCAAGCTCCATTTCCCCTCCAGACCCGCTAGCTGCTTCGTGTTGTCAGTAACAGCACTTTCACCTCAGAGCAATTGACCAGAGATCAGCACTGTGACATTTTGCACTATGTAGGGCGATGAAATGTCATGCCTGCAAACCTACGGTGGTGGTCAGGATCACCCAAAGAGAGGTAAAAAAAGGGTAGTCTCCCGGGCTTGATCAGCAAGGATCCCTTGGGGACGGCAGGGGATGAAGGTAGTCCATTGGGCCGGTGGCGTCCCTTTGGTCCTTAGCCTGGGTCATCTGAATGTGCACGTGTCTTCTGGGCAACAGGTCCAGAACTCCGCCCAGGCAGGGAAGCCCGGAGGCTGCAGCCCAGAGCTTTTTCCTCGCGGGTCTCCGGGGCAGACGTGCAGCTCAGCGGTAGCGCGTGAGCCTTTCGTCTTGTGGGGCGTATCGCAGTAATTGAAACCTTGCACACCGCAGGACTGCGGTGGCGTCTATAAATACTCAGCGCCTAACTGCTGACAAACAAAACGCGGGCTCCCGGCACTGCCGGGGAAGAGGCGGCGGCATGTGACCGAGGGCAGGGGCTGGGTAGAACTGGAGGAAACCCCTATTGTCAGCCTGGGAGGCATCCCAGAGCTGATTCCTGAAGCACAGTTAGCAAGCACACAGGCTGGTCAGACCCCAGGCGGCAGCCCCCAGGAAAACGGACAGGAGGGCTGGGCAGGCAGGGTCCCAGCTGCCCCGGCAGGGGCCCCAGAGCGCCCCCTGCGTGCTGCGAGCCCTGCGCGCGCGCACAGTAGGCGTGCAGAGGAAAGTCTCGCCAAAAGGAGGGCGGGCGGGAGAAACAAAGCGGAAAGAGGATACTGCAGGCTCCCAGCGCGTGGCCCGCAGCGGGGCCGCCCCAGGGCTTGCTCGCAGTCGGTCCCCGGGGGTCTTCGCGGACTGGGCCCTGGCCTGCCCCAGTCCGCAGAGCGCGCGCGTGCAGCGGCGCACGGGACAAAGTGGCTCCCTTCCCTGCCCTCCTCTCCCACGCCCCACTCCCGAAAAAGGCTGCTTGCAGGCACGGAGTCGCCCGCGCGTGAGCGGGGTCAACTCTTTAGATTTGTCCCCCAGACCGAGGGAAAATGAGAGAGTCAAACAAGCAGACTTTCTTTTTCGACCTCCTGGCTCAGCTTAGGTCCCCCAATCACCAGCATCCTCATTCCACCCCACGGCGGAACCTCAAACACCCTTAATTGCGACCCGGAGCGTGGCCTGTCCACTGCCCGACCATGGTGGTCGCGAGTAGGTTCCCCTATGCCTGCATGCAGAGTCCGATTGGAGGATTCCTAACCATGCAGGGGGTTCCCACCTGGTTGCCCCCCAAATGTGACACTTTTCCCCAGCTCCTCCCCGCGATCCCCGCCACGGTGCGCCCTGCCAGACTGTGCGCGGTAATTTTCTGCTCAATTCTGCGCGGTTGCTGAGCCTAGGACTCCGGCCCCTCCCAGAGACGCCCCCCACCCACCACTCACCTCCTCGGCGTCTCCGGCGTGCATCACCCAAAGCCGCGCACACTCACCGCTCGCCTCCGCCCCAGACTTCGCGCGCCTAGGAAAAAGTTTCCGGTCTTCCCGAGGAAGTTTTCTCACTGGAGAAAAAGGAGCGACCTGGACGGTTCTCGCCGTCTGCGCAGCTCTCCTTCCCTCCCTCCCTCCCTCCTCCCCCAGCTCTGCCCTCTGATGAGGTCCCGTCCCGCCTCGGTTCCTCTCCAGCTCAAGTCAACAAACGCTTCGGCTGCGGAGCTCCCAGAGCCAGGCTGGTGACACGTTTCCCTCCTCTCTCATCTTACGGCCTCCTCCTCCTCCTCCTTCTCCTCCCCTCCTCCTCCTCCTCCCACTTGTCCTGTCCCGGGCACCTCGCTTTAGTTTCTCTCCAATGGCCCCCATCTCACTTCACCCCATCCCACTCCTCCTCCCCTTCAGCAACTCTCAGCCTGCTGGCGAGAGCGGAGAGGGAGAACCAGCACTTACATCGAGTTCAACAATTTAAGGAAATCCAAGCTTTTTGACTTTAAAAAAAAAAAAAAAAAAATGCCAAGGAGGATGCAGCAGGCCAAGAGAGCTCCGTGCTTGCGTTTCTCTCACCCAAGGGGAGATCTGCAGCCCCCCGGCCCCGCTGCCAAGCCTAGAGGTGATTCTGAGCTCACTTAAAAGGAGCAGGGCGGAGCTGAATAGAGGACTGGGGCCTGGAACTTTTTTTTTTTTTTGAGGTATAGTCCCTAGGCCAATTTCAAAAGTTGTTTTAAGTGCATTAATGAAAATACAATGCAAGTGAACTCTTTCCCTTAGGTTTGCAAAATTGTTTGAAAGCTCCCAAATTCACTTTCTAACTGCAGGTTTAATGAACTGGTGGAGGGTACTTCAGAGTTTGAAACCGCAGAAAACCAACAATCCAAAAATTAAAAATAATGTATAATTATTTGCAAAACTTTTAGGGTTTTTTTGTTGTTTTTTGTTTTGTTTTGTTTTGTTTTTTGTTTTTTGTTTTTTTCTTTTTTGCAGGTGTTAAGAATTTAGTGCAGCTGTTTGCAGGACTCACTGACTTGCATCATTTCACCCTATGGTTGAGCAGGAAATACTTTAAAAATGCTGCCCGATCACACATCACTTGTAGGCTTTGAAACCACAGTGACATTTGCTGAAGAAAAAGATGTGTGTGTCCTTTTATCTCAACACTGAGCATGATTCATTTTCATTTTTTGATTTGGTCATTTAACCAACACATAAACCTATGTGTTAGGGTTGCTGTGGGGATGGGAGCAGGTTGAGGAAGTTCCGGGCATCTCATTTCTCCTGTGATACTAGGTAAAGCTAAAAGCTTCTCAACAGAAACCCTGGAATGATGAAGGGCTTTAAATTTCATCCCAGGAATCACACACAATGAAAGAGACTGTGCATAGGACATATGCCTGGGAAACAAAATCTTTTTTTTTTTTTTTTAAGACAGTTTCCCCTCAGTCACCCAGGCTAGAATGCAGCGGCATGATCTCGGCTCCTTGCAAACTCCACCTCCCTGGGTTCAAGCAATTCTCATGCTTCAGCCTAGCCTCCTGAGTAGCTGGGATTACAGGCATGCCTGGCTAATTTTTGTATTTTTAGTGAAGACAGGGTTTCACCATGTTGGCCAGGCTGGTCTAGAACTCCTAACTTCAAGTGATCCACCTGCCTTGGACTTCCAAAGAGCTGGGATTACAGGCATAAGCCACCATCCCTGGCCAGAAACTGATAGGACAAGGAGCAGGGAGGAGGCTTAAAAGAGGCAGGTCTGAGGGATTAAGAGCCAAATTCTGGAGCCAAAATGGCAAGGTCTATGCAGCAGCTCCTCTTCTCCCCATCCTCTGGTTGCTCAACCTGCTCCCATCCCCACAGCAACCCTAACACATAGGTTTATGTGTTGGTTAAATGACCAAATCAAAAAATGAAAATGAATCATGCTCAGTGTTGAGATAAAAGGACACACACATCTTTTTCTTCAGCAAATGTCACTGTGGTTTCAAAGCCTACAAGTGATGTGTAATCAGGCACATAGCCACATTACCTAACTTTGCTGTGTCTCAGTTTACTCACATGAAAATGGGGATAAAATTAGTAGCTATGTCTTATGGCGGCTATGAGGATTTAATGAATTCATGCAGAGAAAATGCTTAGAATCCCTGCTGGGATTCAAAGGATATTGAGCTACTATTATTTCTATCATTATCCCTAGAGCCTGGGGAAGTGGAAAGGGAGCGAGTTCTAGCCTGCTGCAGGGAGATCAGTTTGATAACATCCATTCTACATTGCTAACTCTCTCATCTCCTTCAAGTCTTATTTCAATGAGAAATATAGCTTGCCATGTCCCCAGGGTTTCTGTTGAGAATCTTTTAGCTTTACCTAATATCCTCCCTATTCCACTTAAAGTTGTAATTCATCCCTCCCAGTCTCCCTGTTTTTTTTTTTAATTTTTTAAAATATATTTTAAAGAGAAAGAGAAACAGGAGAAGGAGAGAGAGAAACAGCCAACTCTCACACTGAGTGAGTGAATCCAGAAAGATGGAATCCAGGAGAGGAAAGCAGCTTCCATACTGAGTGGAAGGGAATAGGGAGAGAGATGGAGTTTAGGAGGGGAAGACAGGCTTCCACGAGAGAGTGTGGAAGGGGACTCCAGACGGAAATCCAGGAGAGAGAAAAACAGCTTCCATGAAGGGAGTGTTCTTGGAAGGGGATTCAAACATGGAGTCCCAACTCTGCTCTTTTAAAAAAAAAAATATATATATATATATAGCATCTATCACCTTGTAACATATTGTATGGTTTACTTTAAGAAAAAAAAATCATTATCTCTCTCTTACCACCACCTCCTACTTTCAGGGTAGGACATCAGCTCTACAAGGGATTGCTTTAATTAAACAAATCCAATTTCTTAAATTCACTAATATTGCCCAAGTTCCTAAAATAGTGTCTGGCACATAGTATGTACTCAGCGAATGCCATAGAAATGAACTCATCTAGAAAATGCTGTACTGATTGCCTATGGTGGGCAGGGCATTATGCAATAAGAAAAAAAGTTAATCATGAGGCCTATCCACAGATAAAAGAGGCTCCTCTGGAAGAAGTGTACTTCCTGGTAAAGGGAAATATACATAACATAGGAGGATGTCATAAAAAAAATATTGAAGGACTGAAAGGGAAGTTTAAAGAGGTTAAAGTCTTTTCTAACCCTAAGAGTTTTTCATTTTGTAAGCGATTTTTTCCCTTTTTCTCTTTCTCTTTCTTTCTTTCTTTCTTTCTTTCTTTCTTTCTCTTTCTTTCTTTCTTTCTTTCTTTCTTTCTTTCTTTCTTTCTTTCTTTCTTTCTTTCTTTCTTCTTTTTGAAACAGGGTCTTGCTCTCTCGCCTAGGCTAGACTGCAGTGCCTTAATGACAGCTCACCATAACCTCAAACTTCTGGACTCAACTGATCCTTCACCATGGCCTCCCAAAGCACTGGGATTACAGCCACCATGCCAAGGCAGAATTTTCTTAAGATAAGCAGTAGTCAATATTTCCATGTAAATCAGAGCTTCTCCCTAAGGAACATTAATGCCAATATATGATGCTTGTCACTACCCAAATTCTAACCAACGTTCTGCTTAAATGTCAATGAGACATTGCCTTTTCTTATTAAGAAACAGAATCTTCATAGGAGAAACCAGTGTTGATCATTCTATTTAAACATTAATTTATGAGGAGAAAATTCTAGGTCTTTATTAGATACATACATAGCTTGCCATGTCCACAGCCTGTGAAATGGAAGTTAGTCCAATCAAGGATTCTGTTGAAAGAGTAACTAACCCTTAGCCAGCTACCTTTAAGACTAAAGGTAGGCACCTAACCCAGGTGCATCCAATCCATAGATGTGTCCTGTGACAAATTCTGGCCCCAAAAAGTGCACTTCGCCAATAGGATTACATTCAGGAATGTGAACACACACACACACACACACACACACACACACACACACACACCTCGTATGCAGAGCAAAAGCTGAAGTTTGTGACTTTATCTGAACTCTAGATTCTGGAAGCTGCAGACTGACTGTCTGTGGGCCCATTAAATGTTATATATTAGATTGTATTGTTTGAACCTCAGGAGGTCAATATTGTTTGAATTACTTGCCAATATTTTAAGATCAGAAAACACCATGCAAATATACAGATTTTTCAGTTTGCCTTGAAAAACCTAGGGGACCTGGCATTATTCTTGCTGCAAACCTGCACTCCGCAATTGGCTAGTTCTGCAGTGGTTTTTCTCCCTTTTAGGGAGAACATGTAGTTTCCAGTTTGCCACAATCCCAGCCACCCGCTGCTTCTCTTGTTCCCAGCCTGATCACCCATTTTCCTGCTACTCTGAATGCAGCTTACAAGGGATACAGACACATAGTTAGAAGGGGCCAGAGGTAGGAGCAACCAGAAATTATGCAATTGAATGGCATGGGTTCAAACCATTTTACAAACAAAACCTTGCTTAGAACCACATAATGCAAACACCACCACTCATCTTTTTTGAGATGGAGTCTCACTCTGTTGCCCAGGCTGAGTGCAGTGGCACAACTGCGCTCACTTCAACCTCTGCCTCCTGAGCTCAAACGATTCTCCTGCCTCAGCCTCCCAAGTAGCTGGGATTACAGGCGCGTGCCACCATGCCTGGTGTATTTTTAGTATGAACTGGGTTTTCACCATGTTGGCTGGGCTGGTCTCAAACTCCTGATGTCAGGTGATCCACCCGCCTCAGCCTCCCAAAGTGCTGGGATTACAGGCCTGAGCCACCACGCCCAGCCCACATTATCGCATTTAATGTCTTAGGGGTCTTATACACACAAATGTCTGCCAAGTTTCGGTGTTTAAAGTCTGATCTCTTTCCATGATAACCCCAAGGTCTCATACTATGATCCTAAAGTATTTCAATAAAGAAAAACATGTATCCTTCCACAAGTTTTCTCCTTTTGTAGATGGAAAAAAGGAGACCCTGAAAATCCAAGATCCTTTGTTAATGCCTAGCACAGCTTGTCAGGGACACAGGTAGGTGTCCCAACCAAGTGCAACATAAAAACACACAGTTTTTCAGGTTCTCAGAGCTCAGGTAATAAAATGAGTTAATGTAGTTACTCATGATAAATAGCAATCTAGATATAAAACTTGCGTAAGCACTCAATATACCACCACAGCACTGTACTATCCATAAAAACGGGACCATTTGAGAAATATGCTCAGCATCTGATATAACACCAGGGTGTAAAATCAGTGACCTTT